CTATTGACGCTAGCGCAAAATTTTTACATGGAAATTGTAGATCTCGTTGTCCTCTACAAGAAAGGTTGTATACAATTTTTCCGTATGTCCAACGGTTTGGGAGTTATTGGCCAAAAACGAATATTTGGAAGAAATTGAAGGGGTACCCCTTGGAAAAATCTCGGGAAAATCGAAAATTTTTTTTTGTTGTTTATTATTAGCAATGTTCTTCCGATGTCTGATTTCTTTTTAAAAAATGCGTTTCTAAAGTGCATAAACTTTTGGGATTGACTGTATAGCCAATACATCCTTAAGAGAAAATTCGAGGCCGAAAACGGAAGTGAAACGTGGCCGGCGCTAATTATCGATCATTATGCGCGCCGTGGGCGGGTAAGTGGGATTTATGTTCCTCCGGATAATCTCCGCAGGGCACACGGGGGGGAAAGAAATGAGCGAACGAGGGCGGCCGGACTTAATGCGCCGCGGGTTTCGTTTAATTGTTATTTACGCGAAACGATCACGCTATTCCCGGGATCGAGAGCCGGCATGTGAAACGGAAAACGGGAAAGGGAGATAAGAGGAAATGAATGATGCCAAAGGATTGATTTACTGTCCCGCTAATTCGCGACGATTATTGACTGTAAATGATATTGGTCCCGGTCACGCGTGCCCCGTAAATCTTATTTGTGATCTCACGTCAAGATCTGTTGTCATAAAAGAAATAGGAAATTAATATTGATAATTAGTGAAGATCGAATTAGATAAGGTCGCTCTAATTGTACACATTTGATTCCGTATAAGTTAATCATCACAGAAGTAGATACTTTTCATTAGGTTTACAAATTTTATAGAATGTTTTATTCAATCGTAAAAAGTAGATTATTTTATCTTCAAATATCTCTGCATCTATTAAATGCATCCACATAAATACTATAAAAAGAGCATTTCAAAATATAAAAATGGGTGCTACCAAGGAATTCTCTTTCCAGTGGAGATAAAAACAAACTATTGTGTGAACCTGGTAACATAGTTGAACGTGTCGAGGCGATAAAAGGTGGTGTTCGGTTGAAAGGAGAAGGCGAAGCAATCGTGTCGATTGAAGATTGATTAGGCGGTTGCATCGGGGTCCGAGATTTACCGTGCGATGCAGTTTCTTTGCCATGCCTCGCCTCTTTGTGCGACAGACCTTCTTTCTCTGGATCTTTGGCTTTTCCATCAATCTCTTTCTCCTCTTTCGATCACTGGTTCTCGCAGACGTATAAATAGGACAGTTCGCGATAGCAGTTCGGAAAATACTTTTCAAACGAAGAAGTCAAAACTGAATCCAAACGAAAACATAAAAGTTTTGCAAAATTCAATTGCATTTATAAATTGCAATTTCTCAATAATTTGAATTAAAATTGCAATGGACTTTCTCATCGGAATTCTCGCTATCAACTTAGAAATCTCTAATATAAAATAATAATAATATGTCTAATGAATATCTATATAATTATAAATATCTAATATAATAATTTTATAAAAGAGACACGTGGACGACGGTGAGGGGGAATGGGTCGGTCATTATTATTGCTCGTTTTGGCCAACGACGACGACGACGACCTCGTCTCCTCGAACGCGCGTATAAATCCCTTTATGGCCGTCGCGTCACGAATTCACTGCTTGTCGCCGATTTTATTGCCACTGGCTGTTGTCGCCGCAGCTTTTACGCCACGGCGGATAGCCGGGATATCGAAACTTCCGGCATTTCGCGCAACGGCTAAAATAAAAAGTGCAAGCTGCAGACGTTTCGCGCAGACGACGCGTGAAATCGTACCATCTGACGTTAATTTCTTCTTACTTAATAATGAAAATTATTTCGGTCATCCATTTCTATTACACTACTTAAATATACTTATATTATCTGCATGATTTCAAACATGAAGTTTCAATGGACAATATAAAGTCAAACTCGAAGAAAGTACAGAGAATCTGTTCTCCGGCTGATTTTATAAAACATCGAAGTGTCGATCAAACACGGAGGCGCTTGTAAAACGCAGTGAATCCGATTACAAAAGTGTTACGGGGGAGGGAACTCATTTTAATCTCGTTAACCGAGCCCCACATGATTTACGAGCACTCGATGGAAATCAGATAGTCGTAATAAAAGGTTGTTAGAAAAAATCGTGCAAACTCACCGCGCTGATCTCGCGCCCTCGTAACCCTGCAGGCTCCGGTGTTCGTCTAAGTAGCCGAATAGCTTTTCCAACTCGTTGAGCTGCTCGTTCCTCACGACGGTCGCCTCTTTCAGAATCTGTAACAGAAAGTACGTACCGATGACGCGATGAAACTATGAAATACAATTAAATTATACAATTCTTATAAAAAATGAGATTGTCGATAGGAAATCTTCATTTTTCGATGTCTGTCATTTATTGTAATTTATTCGACCAGGGATTCATTCTTTTTTTTTTAACTCTATCAACCGTGTTCCCGTTTCGTTTCCATCAGGTTCCGCGATCTTCACACAAATTGTACGTAAACCACGGAAAATAACGAATAGCTTCCTGTAAGAGTTCGCGTAAAGACAGCATAAATTTGCGACGCGTCGCCGACGATGGCGCACACGTTACGTGCAGTACACATATGCCGGGCATAAAAATGGTATCCATGATACCGGGGACGTGATTTACATAAATATAATACTTGGTTCCATTACGTCACTGCGACGACGCGCGACGTAAGGAATCTCTTCTCCTCTGTTCCCGCGACTAGTTCTCCGGAAGCCGCAAGGGCGTGGGTAACAAAAAGAACCGCGGAAAAACTGTATCGCGAACGATGGAAATAAATTCAAGGATTCACGCGTAACGCATGTCCTTCGCCTCTTTGATCGGTTCCCATCTTTCTCCCATCATGAGAATTTTCCTCGGTTTATTCAAACTCAATTCCAATAATTACGCATCACGTACGCAGAATGGTACTAAGAGGTGAACGAGATGTCCTGATAAGACGCTTTTTCGAGCCGCGGTTAATAATTGATATCTGTGTAATTCATGTCAGTCTTTAAGTAGGCGGGAAACAAGCTGCCTGAAATGACATAGTCTGATGAATTATCCGGCTGGTTATCTTCCATTGGATCTATCGATTTGCATAAAACGTAAATTATAATCTGACACGTGCTAAACGGCCGCTTCGTTGGCCGTAACCGAGAAACGCGATATGAATTTTTCATTGACACCCCGTGATCACCTTTTCCTTCATCCCTGATTGATAATTTCCTAAATTAATTCAAGCTGTTTAGCGTCATGATATGAATTAGATATCTGCTTATGTTCGTTTCTGTACTTAATCCTGTCCAACTGTAAAATAAGAGCGTGAAGAGTGTAACAGTTTACGGTGTCGCGATCACTTTCACGGACACCGGGGAATCAGTCGAGACTAGACCAGGTAAAGGGGTGGTCGACGAGGAGACGGTGGGACGCGGGAGGGTGGTAAGGAAAAAATACCGAAGGCAGCGTCCCTCGAAAATAAAATCGGTTTTCCGATAACTGGTTATTTGCTCGCACAAGTGGCTCGCTGACTGGGCGAGCACATCGGAAGCGGTTTTCGCGTGTAATATTATCGAGTTATCGGGCGGCGGAGAGGAGGGCATTGATCGGCTGCCGTAGCTACCGCAGAGGGTTGAAGGAGACGGGTAGCGGGGTAAGAGTGGCGGAGGAGACAGCCGGGAGGGTGGACGCGGGAGGAATAGAGAGTGAGAGGGTGGGTGGAGGAGAGTGGCTGGGCGAGCGTGCATTGCACGAGCACAATATATCCGCGTGATTACAATATGTCGGGGCTCGAGAGACCAATATCAACCTGAAGTCGGCTCAGCCAATGCTAATAATCCCTATTGTTGGTGCCTCCACTCGACTGCCTCTCGTGATCGGATACATCTTGTTTCGAAATTTCGAATTGCCTCGTTCTCTTCTACTCTCTAGTTTCTATCCCCCGCATGTCATGGCATTTTTTTGACGTTCCTTCTTCCTTTGGAAATTTATATCGAGGATACTTCCAAACTCGATTGATTACAAATCACAGAAATATTTATAAGTGAATTGATTATACTACGTCACAATCTTCTTAACCGTTGATTGCTTAACAATAAAACAAAAAGACTTTAAATCCTTTCCATCGATTTAATCTTTCGAACACTTCACATTCGCGTTCGCTCTTGTAAGAACGTTTAATAGAACAACAGTCGAACGAGAAATTACTATAATTCCTTCCATAATCGGATCAATAATCGGTCTAAAGGATTGCATTAGTGATCGGCAATTGAGTAATCTCTTAACGCGTGCCACACGTTAGGAGACGAACGTACCCTACCAGCAATGGCGACTAGATGAACGTTAGACAGAAAGAAAGAAATGAGACTTGTCCTCGACGCTGCGGCGTACAGTCCGCCTTTCACACGTCCCACACGAAACCCGGCGAAGCTCGGTCTCTTTCAAAACAATTACGCATTCTTCAGCCAGTTTTCCCACGTCGACATTACCGCAATATTCGTTTTGCCTACACCATTTCTTTCTTCAAAATTGATGCATGAGCTACATTATTGCAAATTATATGATTGAAGAATTTATAAGATGAAGAATGAATTGAAGTCATGCTATTAATAACAAAATACGGAAATCACTTTTAAATGTAAATTCTAAAGGCATTCTTAAAAGCTTATTATAAATTCAAAATCTTAACACATATAATTTTCTTAATTCAAATCAATCATCGACATTAAAAATTGGTGACCTCTTTGAAACTAAAATCATTCATCTGTTTAACTTCCGGGATTGACGAACGGCCGAAGAAGCTTGTTTCGATTAATTAACAACGATTAATTCGAACGACCGATAGGTCCCTTGAAAAGCTTGTAAAGGGTACTCAGGGATTTAATTGGAAACTCGTATCTTACCCTGGGAATATGCGTTGCTCGAACGGCTAATTTAAATTAAATGCATCTGCGCGCTCGGGTCTGTCCCTGATAACGATAGCCGAGCCGATCGCTTATCACAGGGAAACGCACGGCCTGATAAAGGCCAGGCTGCGGCGGCGTCGCGTCGGCTCGTTAATCAGCGCGAGAGCTGATCGCGACGAGAGCCGTGTTCAATTAGCTCGGCATTGGTTGGTACCTCGGCTACGATATTAATTAACATTAGTTACGGTGTAACCGAGGCCGGCTCGCTCGTCAGAAATTCGCCCAAGGGTTGAAAGTTTACCTGCCGGATACACGATACAAGATATACCAAGAATGGGCTCGAAGATAGCTCTGCGATAATTCATTCGTTTGATGAATTGAAACTAGAAATCAGTTTGTTCTTTTCGGACTGTGTGTACTACCAATATTTTAGCAATCATAACGTGTAGATATTTCATTTCTGTTCATAACTGTACACCGAGTGGTAACACACGTCTCGGCTGAATAAAATGAAAAAGAATACAGAGTAGATAATTTAACTTGTAAAGACAGAATTAAGTATGTAAGTCTGGTCATAAAAGCAAATGAAAACTCGTTTGATAAGATTATCTTGCTGTAATGCGTGATCTTTTCTGCTATTTATTATCTGGAAATTAATAGGGTTCGATTCAGGGGGAAGAAATTGACATTATTTCGTGTTTACTTTCACTAAGCGGTTATTTTCGCAACGACCGCGTGGGATGTAATTATTAAGTATACATTACGGTCGGTTGCACGACAAAAACAGCGGTCTCGGTGTGTCTGACAGTAAATATTCCGGAGTTAGCGGTAATTGTGGCTCGGGGAGGTATAATACCAGTGTTTACACCCGGCATGAAATAATTGTTACGACCGGCGCGGCGGTACGTATTTTTGCAGCGAGCAGTCTCCTCTTTTCGAGCTTGTAATTCAGGAAGGAAGGATGCCCATTGTCCCCCTCCTGCAATCCCCTTCTCCGTCAGAAATGTGTTCCGCAAATTGAGCCTCGTTATATCCTTATAGCGGTAATTTTTTAAGGAACATAAATTTAGCAAATTATTTCTCTCGATAAAAAAAAGACGAGCTGCGAACTACTTCGCATAAATTTAAGAACGTGTGGCCGAGACATTTATGTTTCAATAAGGAAGCAGTAGCTCTGTCATTTCTAAAAATATATTCTAGCCGCTACAAGTTCCGCTCTTTCCTTTCAGTCTTTTACACTATCAAGTTTTACTACCCAATATTACATTTAGAGCGGCTGGAAATAGCACATGAACGGATCAGTGATTTGAAAGTATCGATCTCGTTTTTCTTCCGGGGAAATGTGCGTATGTATGAAAGAATTTTCCTGAAGAGTCACCCTTATCGGGCGGTATGCATCCCGAGTCTGGCTGTTCCATTTCTCACGCGTCGTAATTAGGTCTCGATCGACGATCGAGAGCCAGTTAGCCCGGTGCATACCGGTTAGACATGGAAAACTACTGATCGGGTCAATAAAACTGCAACACGACGGACGATGCCGTAGCGCGGCGTGCCGCGTTTCCCTTTTGCCATTTCCCACGTGTTTTCCCCGGCTTTCCTTCACCCAGTGCCGCCGTAGGACGGAATTCCATTCGGTCTCTCCGGCCACGTTCGTTTATCCCACTCGCGATCGGCCTACACGCGCCTAGAATGCGTTGAAATAATATGATTATGCTAATGTAAGGTAAGGTAAGAGGTAAAAGGAAAGAGGAGGCCACGGATTCCATTGAATTTATCCGTTAAGGTGGCTCGGTTGGCAATAATTATCACCGGCCTACCATTCATCTTGAACCGACTCCAAAGACGTCGCGTAACTTTTTATTGTTACTGGTACACTACCGCGCAAAAGTTCCCGTAAATCTTTTGAGCCTTCGATTCTGATCCTGATTTAAGTCCAATACTTTTATTTTTTAAATGTTTCTCTCACTTCATCCTGTTATGACTGCAATGCTTTGATTTTACTATTTAAAAGGTACTATACATTATTAGAATTTTCTGACTAGTACAATATTTGATAGGCGATTGACAAATTTATGAGCGACGGTGTACCGTTTTTCCTCCCTTCCATCTTCACGCCGATAGGAATGTAATTTACGGGACAATTTGTGATATACCGGTCGGTACAACTCGGTCCGACACTCGAACAAGCTATTCTATTCAAAGCGAATGGGACGGACAGATCGGGATAAAGCTGTAAAGCTGTAACGGTGATTAATGCGAAAAATTCAGGCCGTACATATATGCATGCGGCGCGACCGGCCTTGAGGCACTCCTATTTTCCCTCCCTGGGAAAAACTGTATCGATCCCCGATGAAACTCTC